GGGAAAGGCCGGGCCGGCTCTGCCCTTCAGCTGTGCCTGCTCAGTGCCAGGGACGCCCTCCAGCTTGGCTTGGCCCACAACTCCGCCTGGGGTCTTTCTGTCCAGGCTCCAGGCCCTCTTCTCCTCGCCTCCCTGTCCCTGACAGTCCCCCTCCATCCCAGGCACTGTGTGACGGATATGTGTACAGTCAGGACCCCAAAGAACAAGAGGAGCTCCGAGGCCGGGTCCTCAGCGGGTAGGGAAGGCCATTGTCTGCCAGGAGGCAGGTGCCAGCGTGGTCAGCAGGCGGGACCACAGCCACTGCCGTGAGGCACTGCCCCTGCCAGCCGTTCCACCCCTGCCCAACTCCTCCCATCCGTCCTCACCCGAGGCTCCCCATCTTGCTCCCTCCGTCCCTCATGCCTCGATTGCAGCAAGTTTGAGGCAGGGCGTCTTTCCAGGCCAACTGCTTCTCTGCCCCTCCCGGGAGCCTCCTCCTGCTGGTCACCCCATCCTGCTCCTCCTGTCTGGAACTCCATCTTTGCTTAACCAGATCCTGCAAATGTTTTCATGTCCCCAATGCTCATTCTGGCTTCCCAGCCCCCAGGCAACTCTGTGCTACTGACACTGCGCCTCCCGCTCCACCTTGCGCTGTTTGCTGGCCCCACCTCCTGCCCATGCCTCTGGCACCTCAGCCATGGCATGTCCACCCAACACCATGTACCAGAGCTGCGTGACACCCTGCCCGGAGTCCTGTGCCAAGCTGGTGGCCCCTGGGGAATGTGAGGGCCCTGCGTGGAAGGCTGTGCCAGCCTGCCTGGCTATGCCTATAGCAGCACCCAGAGCCTCCCCCTGGCCAACTGTGGGTGCACCACCAACGGCGTCTGCTACCAAGTCTGAGTGCAGTGGGAGGCCCCAGGGAGCTGAGGCACTGATGAAGCCAGAGCCCCCACCCCACCCTGGCCCTTCTTCCTTTCTGGCTGGGTGACAGCTTTGTGGCTGAGGACTGCTCTCTGCGCTGCACCTGTGCCAGCTCGGAGGTCCTGCAGGGTGAGCCCTTCGGCTGCAGCACCGGGGAGATCTGCACCCTGGCTAACCTCACTCGGGGCTGCTTCCAGGGTAAGCCTGGGCTCCCCTTGCTCAAGGCTGTCCTGTGGCCCTGGGGAGGAGCCCCTGGGCCAGGATTATGCTTCCTTGTCCTCTGCCTGGGACTCCCACACTGATGCTAAGAAAGGGCTTACTCCTGCTACCTGCCAACCTTGTCCCAAGGCCTCCTTTAGTCCTTGCAGAGGCAAGGACTCCTGGTGGCAAGCACAGAACCCCCATTAGTGGAAATAGAATTTAAGCTAGGAATGGTGGCACAGGCCTGGAATCCCAGCACTCTGGGAGGCTGAGACAGGAGGATCACAAGCTTAAGCACAGCCTGGACAATTTAGCAACTTAGAGACCCAAGTTTAAAAATTAAAAAAGGGCTGGGAATGTAGCTCAGTGCAGAGGCCCTGGGTTTAATTTCCAGTACCTTAAAAAAAGGGGGGGGGGAGCAATTTCCCAAGAGCCTAGGCCTGTAGTGGGGCTGAGGGCAGGACTGGGGGCCTGACCTCCAGCCAGGCTCCAGGATTCCCTGCTTTCCTCCCTGGGGTCCAGCCCCCAGCCGGGTGTCTCCTGCTCTGAGTGTCCTCCAGGGCCACCCCCCTCCATCCTGCAGAAAGCCCATGTCTATGGAACCCCTGACAGAATGACAGTCAGTGTCAGGAGCTGGGATCCAACTTCACCTGCGAGTGTGAACTCGGTTATGGGGGAGACCTCTGCATGGAGCCTCAGGATGTTCCGCCCCAGCAAGAGAAAGATAAGGCCCACATCCCAGGCCCACACCCACGGACAAGAGCCACAATTACTTTTTTTTTCGGTACAGGGGATCGAACTCAGGACCTTGTGCTTTCGAGGCAGGTGGCAGAACCACTGAGCTAAATCCCTGGCCCTATAGCTACCTATTATATAGAGACATATAACATGTTAGTACATATAATACACAATATATTGTTCATGTTGTTATATATGACCTGTAATATAGGGATCATATTATAATATGAACCCTAGAGCCAGGTGTGGCAGTACATGCTGATAATCCTACCATTCTGGGAGGCTGAGGCAGGAGAATGGTAAATTCAAGCCCAGCCAGGGCAACTTAGTAAGATCCTGTCTCAAAATTAAAAGAAATAAAAATTTACAAAAGGCTGGGAAATAGCTCAGTGCAAAGGCCCTGGGCTCAATCCCCAGTACAAAAAACAAAAGATCTATAGACATTTATGGGCCATGGATGCTTGATCGATTCCTGTGCCCACCACCTACGTGGCAACTCTGTTTTGTCTTGTTTTGGTTTTTTTGGTTCCAGGGATCAAACTCTGGTCCTTGTGCTTACGAAGCAGGCAGCGAAACCGCTGAGCTAAATCCCTGGGCCTATATGTGGCAACTCTGGAATCTTCTCTCTAACCCCAGTTCTCACCCCTCACCCTTCCGTGCTTACCATGTTGACTCCCCATCTCTGCCCCTCTGTATCTCTCCAATACCTTTTACTATTTTTCTCTACCCCAAACTCAAATTCCACCACGCCTCTGGCCCAAAGGTTCCCTGGGTTTCCCCTACCTGCGGCTGGGTTCTGAGGGGGCCAGACATCTGCATCTCAGGCAGTGCTGGAATGAACAGATGCTGATGGTGGAAGAGATTCCTGGGCTGCCAGGATCTAGGGGCCCACTGGATGAGCGGCCTCTAAGAAAGGCCTATGGGAAACTGAACAGGTTACTAGGAGTGGGTGGCACTAGGGCCTTGCTGTCCCTGGGAGGTGACAGCATCCTGGAGAGGGAATTAGCCACCAGCAGAGATGTGAGGGGATGAGGTTCCTCAGGGTGGCAACTGAGGACCAAGAAGGACTCCTCCTGCTGCACCAACTCACTCCTTTCCCTCTCATGTTCCTGTTTCTCTTGCTGCACCCAGAAAAATACAGCTTGGGGGCCATCCTGCTGAGCATGGCCATGCCTGTCATGGTCCTAGTGCACCTGCTGATGAAGTGCCACTGCAGGAGGAACCAGAAGAGGAAGTGAGCTCCTGGTGGGTGGCTGTGGCTGGGGACTGGGGTGCCAGGAGACCTCAGGCCTCCATCCATTCCCCACCCTCTCCTAGGGAGAAAACACAGGGCCAGACAGAGCCTGGAGCGCAGTTGCCAACCCTAGATGAGCCAGCCTCGCAGCCAGGACCTGGGCAGCCAGAGGTGGCTTCTGTCCCTGACACAGGTTTTCTTGCTTTCTGCTCATTGTTCCAGAGCCTACCTGCAAAGTCACTCAGTTCTGAGTTGTCCTCAAACAAGGAGATAAAAGAAGCTATTTATTTATGTGCTTTTTTTTTTCAGTACTGGGGACTGAACATAGGGCCTTTACACTGAGCTATAGCCCCACCCCCTTTTTTATTTGGAGAGTCTTTCACTAAGTTGGTAAATTTCCCAAATTGGGCTCAAATGTGCAATCCTCCTGCCTCAGCCTCTCAGAGTGCTGGGTTACGGGACAGGTGTGCGTCACCACACCCGGCTAGAAATGCTGGTTCTTAGAGGATGTGGCCTCTGAGCTCCCTGCCAAGGGCAATGAAAGATCATTTTGAGAAGCTTTAAGTTCCTAATGATGAGAAGCTCAGAGGCTGGGGATGAGGACTGGGTCTTTTCTCATAGGGTGGCCCTGTGGGGGCGGCCCCCCTGGTTACTGTGGGAACTGAAGTGGGGTTGGCTCAAGCTTGGGAGCTGGAGCTCTGCACCCCACCCAGTGCTCCCCAGGGGCTCATTCTCCCAGGCTGATCCTCACTTGAGGGGAGGGGTTGAACCCTAAGCCTGCTGGGGAAGGGTGGGGACAGGGGACTTGGGCTCGGGGAGGTTGACACCAGCGTGCTTATATTACTCTTGTGCATATCCTCCAAGACCACCAGCCCTGCAGCAGACTTCTGGGAGAGAGACCCAACCCAGGTGGGGAAAGAGCTCCAAAAGCCCTGCCCAGTGGGGCTTTCCCTCCCTTAGCAGGGGCAACGCGCTCCAGGAAAGTACAGTGCACCTGGTCCCCACCCGGTTTTCCTCAGCCTCTGTCTGGGTTGTCTCCACTGAGGCTCCTGACCTTTATTCCTCCCAAATCAACTCTCCAAGGTCACCTTATCTAGCCCGGATGTCTGTTTGGCAGAGGAAGACGCTTGGCTGGGCGGCCTCAGCCTCTGTTGTATGGACTCTCCCTCGGCAGGACTGAGTCCTTCCAACCCCCTCTCTGAGGTGGAAAACAGGAGCATTGTGTCCCCAATGGAGACATGGATCAGGGACTCCAGTGTTAGGGACTCCAGAAGAGGGCTGTAGAGGTAGGAAACCATGGACGGGCTCCCTGGGCGGGGAGGCCCTGCACCAGCGCCAAGGTGAGAAAGCCCTCTCACAAAGCCGGGCTGGCCCTGTCAGGCCTGCCCATGCAGGTATCACGATGGGAGGGCAGGAAGAAAATGGGGATGGGGGGTGGAGACAGACCCCAGCCTCCTCTTCCTGTCTGGGAGGAAGAAGTTGGGGCAGACACAGGAGGGTGGCCCCCCTCCCTTCCCACGAGGCCAGGAGAACCTGCCTGGGCGGCAGATTGAATGGGGGAATTGTCTTCATCGGCAGCTGCACACGTGGGGTCCCCGCGGCCACTCCCACTCTCCCCTTCCCCCACAGCCATGCGGACTCCCCCACTGCTGCTAAACCAACCCCAGCTGCCAACATCTGGCCCACATCTGTCTCCCCGGACTAGACACTCCCCCCAGCCTTTGTCCCCTCCTCTCACAGGGGGCTGCCGCAGGGCTGAGCTCAGCTCCCCCTTCCTCTATACAGCCCCCTGCTAGGGCTAAAAGGAACCAGGGGAATCTGGAAGGGGGCAGCCCCACCCCGGAGGTGCCCCAGGCTCTTGGCTCTGCCAGCTGGAGCAGTTAGAAGCAGCTGCCAGTGACTCATCTCCCGAGGCCCCCCCACCCCCTCCTGGGGCTGGGAACCAAGCACCCAGGCTCCCTCTCCACTGTCTGATCGTCTGGATCCCCGCTCTTTGGAAATCTAGTTCACCCCGGCTCCCAATCACCCCCCAGAACTGGGATATGGCTCATTTTATTTATACAAAAAGTTTCTTTTTAATTTTTAAATATAATTTAAGAACCCCTCCAAGCACCGGGTGTCTGTCTCTGGTTCCCAGCACCGACCCCCTGCCCCTTCACCCCCTCCCCTGCACCCCCCCCATGGACACAGCTTGGGGTGCTTGGGGAACAGTGAGCCTTCTGGGCTTGTGGCATGGCCAAGGCACTGTTCTGGAAACAGACACCTCCATTGGTCCGATGCAATGCTGGCAAAGGAGGAGCTGGCGAAACAGGTGCCCTCCAACCAAAAACTAGGACAAGGACGCTAGAAAAACAAAGCAACAAAATAAAAAGGGGAAGGAGGAAAAATAAGACCAAAACCAAAAAAAAAAAATCTCATGAACCTTCAATATGAAGGCAGCAGATGGGGACGGGGCATTTACAAGGGAAAGATGATTGTGTCCGGGTGGTGGCAGCGGCAACTTGGGACATCAAAGCCCAGTGATTGTGTCACTGAGTTGAGACACCACTTCCTGCCTTCTGGGACAGCGCTCCTCCACTCCCAAGCTGGCAGGCTGGTCCCCCTCTCTTTGGTCTGCAGGGACTTGTCCCTCAAGGTGAGGGGGAGCACCCGGGAAGCCGGGAGATTAAGGGCATTTTTATTTCCTCTGGCCACACCCAGCCCTGAGGGAAAGGCTCCCGCACCCTGGCTCTGGGGTTTCCTGCCTGGAGGGGACAGAAAGCGATTTCTACCCTCAGGGGGCACACTCCCCCCAAAATCCTCCTTCCAAATTGCCAACTCTCCACCCCAACGGGTTCAAAGTGCTATCCAGCAGGGCACAGGGCTGGGGATGTCTGTGAGTCCCCACCCGACTC